GTGCTAAGGATCGAACCCGGGCCGCACGCATGCCAGGCAAGCGCACTACCGCTTGAGCCACATCCCCAGCCCTTAAATGAAGGCATTTTAATTGGTGTATTATTATACCTAATAGCGCCATTCATACAGGCACATAATCTGATCAGTTTATTCCCCAGTTCCTCCCCTGCTATATCCTAGATCCCTTTGTTCTATTTTACTGTTCTTTCTTCTGTTATTATTTTTTAATTAGAGCATTATAATTACATATAAATTCTGGATTCATTGTGGTAAACTCTTAAGGACACAGCATAATTGAGTAGATTTTGCTCCCTGTTCCTTTCTCTTTCTCCCTTTCAATTCCCTTCTACTGTCTTTATCTCCCTTCCATTTTCATGATATCCCTTTTTTATTCCTTTTTATATTCTTTAGCTTCCACATATGAGAGAAAATATTCAATTTTTGACTTTCTGAGTCTGGCTTATATCACTCAGCATATTCTTCAGTTCTATTCCATCCATTTTCCGATAATTTCATTCTTCTTTATGAAATGTGTATATGCACCACATTTCCTTTATCCATTCATCTCTTACAGACTCCTAGGTTGGTTGCATAACTTATCAAGGGCATTTTAATCAAGTAAATGAAAAAAACTTTAAAGTAAGTGTGAAGTGTGGTGGCAAAGTTACTATGGGGCCCTAAATTTGTTTTAAAAAGAACATGGCCCAAATTCTTAAATTTGAGATTAGATTATTCATAAGGGTAATCTTAGAATATAGCTCTTCTCTCTTTTTAGTATTTTGTTTCTATTTGCCAAAAAATTAAAAATGTTTAGTTGTGCTGTAGAAAACATTGAATATGGAATGAAATTGCTTAATGGGGTTTGCTCTGAAAATGTGGTGTGTGTGTGTGTGTAAAAGTTCCAGATAATGTTAGTATTTTTGGTAAATATATTTGAAACCATAAACTTGGGTTCCTTGGGGTCCAAGTCATGGGATAAAAATGTTTCTTATTTGGCTGCTGTGGTCTAAGAGAAGAGGGGAGAAGGAGGGAACTGCTGGACTTGGGGAGGGAGGGAGGCAGCATTTTGCCAGAGGTCCTGTGAAGACAAGAATGATGGAAGAAGAAGAATTTTGGCACTTAAGATGTAGGGGAAATTTCTTGAAAGAGTTTATGTGCAAACCAGAGTTAGTATATTCTTTAAAAGATTTCTGGTTTCCTGAAATTAATTGAATAAGCCACAGTGTTTTGTACTTTAACAAAGTGAATCAGCTATAAAGTTCTAACACATGTATGATATTTGCACTATTTATTTGCATGAAATGAGATTTTTCCAAACAGCCTGTCTTTAAAAAAAAAAAAAACTTTTTTTGAACACATGTTCTATATACATTTTGTTTTCAAATTTTTCTAAAAGTTTGTGGTCAGATGTACCTTTCCCACTGTCTCATCCAAAATGAGGGTACTTTTAAAAATTTATTAAAAAAAAAACTATGAAGGGCGTGGGGATATAGCTCAGTTGATAGAGTGCCTGCCTCACATGCACAAGGTCCTGGGTTCAATCTCCAGCACCACCAAAAAAACAAAACAAAACAAAAAACCTACCAAGAAAAGTAATCCCAATTTGGATAGCAGAGAGTATAGAGAAAATTTAAAGCACTTAAAATTTCACTTTCCAGAGGTGAAATTTTCCTCTCTCTCAATCCAGATATCCTATGTTTATATTTGTGTGTTTCAAAGTGGGATTATATTCTACCTGTTGTTTAAGGTTATCTTCTAACAACATTGTATCCTTTATTCTAGATTAAAGAAAAGGCAGATGTCCTGAATCCATTAATCACTGCAGTCTTTCTAGAGGTTAGTAATAATTGTTTTTAAGTCTATGATTCCAAAGGCATTTTGTATTAATGAACTCTTATTAAGTCTTTAGCTTTTGACTTCTTTGGGTTTTTTTTCACCAGATTAGTAGTTTGGTGCAGATATGGACAAAGTTGTGTATGTTTGATGTGTATTTTATTGCAAGGCATAGAAGTTAAAGCTGCAGGATAATGTGGATTGGTAGGAGCAATTGGCTGTCCTTTTTTAGTCCCTTTCCCTTGACAGCTTAACATATAATTCCCAGTAATGAAATTACTTCTGGAGACCGGCTGGTAAACATGAAGGGATGAAATAGGCAAGCACTATTTTCTAAAGGACTAAAGCTTATGCAGGAGAGGTGTTTCAAACAAAACATTTTGTCATTTCCTTTCCAAACAATCTTAAATATTTTTATTTATTTATTTTTTTTGTCGAATAGGAACCTATGTTTACATAATCCTCATGGAGGGTTTAAGTCTCTGGAAAGGGATGATGTGTAAGCATCCCATGATTGATTGTATTGCCTCCCTAAGGATGGTTTCTAGATACCATGTTTGAAGAACTATTGTCTTATAAATTAATTGTAAAGGCAACGTTAGTCTTTTGATGATCTGTTCAAGACATATTATTTATCTTAGAGTAGGGAAGACAAAAATATTGATAATTGGTTAGATTTTAAATATGAATTTTTTAATACTATTAGACTATTCTCCAGTTTTAAATTATTTTAAAATTACCATTAAAGAAATA